ATGGTGTGAGACTCCAACTCCAAAAAAAAGGAATTTTTTTAAGGCATTTGATAATTAATCACCAAGTCTCTCCATGTCGAAAAGCAATATGTTTCGTACATCAACTCAAGTCTTTTTGTTGTAGCTTTTATTGAATCCTACAAAGATCTAGTTGGGTAAAATTTATACTTTCTTATTTCTAGTACACCCACAGCACAGCCCAGGAGACTTTGGAAATGGTGCAGCTATAAGAATCTCCAGAGCCAATATCATCCAGGCCAGCGAGTTCCTTGAGCGATCCAGATCATAGGGGCATTTAGTAGAAGGAATTCCTGGATTAATCCAGCAGTTGCCATCACTCCACTGGCAAGCATCATTGTATGGAGATCCACTCCAAATATTTGGAGAAGTCACCTTGCCATCCCCAGCATGCACTTGTGTGTAGGAAACCGCGTGCCATGCCACATCCCAAATATATCGGAGGCATCAGGGAACGAAAATACAACGATCTAATTAAGTGCTGTTTGTAGGACAAGGCACCTGGGCAGGGTGAGCTTCCCTGGTCTGAATGAAAGGCAACACATCTTGTTGGAAGAGCTTTTGAGCTAATTAGCATGGTCTGTCTACCCAGAAACAAAAGAAATCAGGTCAGGCCTAAGAGGAATCAAGTATCAGAAATGCGGTCAAGTTTCCTTATTAGTAGTAAGATGGATAAGAGCTTTGACCAGATACCAAACCTTGACATCTTGACCCTCTTTTTCTGTGGTAAAAAGAACACAGATGTATAGAAAAGCCACGATGACAATTGTGTCCTATTTGTCCATTGAGGGCTCTGTTTTGGATGCTTACTGTTGAACTCTCAGAAACGACGATCTGTGCTTGACCAGAACGAGTCCTGAGAGCTTGTTTTGCAGAGTAGGGATCCAAAGTCACACAAAGGATCCCCGCCTTATTCTAGAGCTATAGTGTTTTTATTTGTATTTTCAATTTTTGAGTTGGAGTCTCACTCTGTCTCCCAGGCTAGAGTGCAGTGGCATGCTCATGACCTCCCCAGCATCAACCTGCTGGGCTCAGGAGATCCTTCCACCTCAACCTTCCAAGTAGCTGGAACCACAGGTGTGCACCACCATACCTGTCTAATTTTTTCATTCATTGTAGAGATGAGGTCTCGCAAGGTGCCCAGGCTGGTCATGAACCCGTGGGCTCAGGCAATCCTCTCACCTTGGCCTCCCAGAGTGCTGGAATTACAGGCTTGAACCACTGCTACGGTATTAGCTTGGTCCTTGGCAGTTAGCAACTCTGTGGAGGGACCATATGAAAGGAAAGGTGATTTGTCCTAATTATGATTTGTTTCCTTGTCACTCAAATTCACCTTTACCCTCAATGCCACATTCAGTTGTGTCCTTGGCCCTGGCCAGTCATTTCAACACCTTGCACGAGCTGTAATGGGACAGAGGGAAACGCGGACCTGCTCTCTGCAAAAGTTGAGTGACTATAGCCACTACCATTGCAAGCTGAAACTTTATTCCCAGTTTATCTGTTGATATATACCCCATACATCTAGTGGCATGCCCGTAACACAAGAAAGCACTAAATGTGATGTGATTACAGCATGTGTGTTTTTGTTTTTTTTTTTGAGTTGGAGTGTCACTCTGTCACCCAGGCTGGAGGGCAGTGGCACGCCTCTCGGCCACCGCAGCCTCAACCTGCTGGGCTCTGGCGGTCCTTCCGCCTCAGCCTTCCAAGTAGCCGGAACTACAGGCGCACGCTACCATGCCCGGCTAATTTTTGATTTATTGTAGTGATGAGGTCTTGCCAAGTTGCCCAGGCTGGTCTTGAACCTGCGGGCTCAGGCAATCCACTCGCCTCGGCCTCCCAAAGTGCTGGGATTACAGGCTGAGCCACTGAGCCTGGCCATGTGTATAATTTCAACATCCAACATGCACAGAGCATGATACTGCACAATGGTTAAAGCTTCATTACAGATGGACTATTGAGGGTGATGATTGTAGAATCCTTTTATCTTGACATTGGAAGAAATGTTAGATATGGCTTAGTTCAACCGTCTTAGTGTAGAGACAAGGAAAACAAGACCCAGAGAGGCTACACAGGTGTTCAACCCTCATGTGGACTAGTGGCAAAGCTGGAATGTGCAGCCAGGGGTCCCCACTTCAGTTCTGCACTGCACTCAACCCTGCCTGAGACACAGGGCTGTGTTTTGCTGTCCCAGATTGCGATGAATAGTTTTAACATGCGAGGCTTCCCCACTAAACCATGGGCTCTTAAGAACATATTCATCACCTGGCACTTCAGTGGCACATAATGGGATTCCAATAAATGTTTGTTGAAAAAGTGGATAAATGGGTGAATAAGTGAGACCTATTTTTCTACCCCCCATCATGTACAAACAAATGCTAAAATTGTAGTGGTCTCTACTAGCGCTTGCTCAGACAAGTAATGAAGAAGGAGAGAGAGCATAGAAAGAGTGAAAGGTGGAAAAAGTAGAAGGAGAAAGCAAGAAGAGAAAAAAGGGTATACAATTCAGTAGGAATAATTACCAAAGTCAATACATAGACAGAATTGTTAGATTCGGTTCAGGAGCCTTTTGTCAAGACTCTTGCCTCATCTTGTCTCTCCCAATTTTCTCAAATGAGGGCTTTGAAAGAGGATAGTTTTTTGGGGGGAGGGGGAGTTGGAGTCTCACTCCAGTGCCCAGGCTGGAATGCATACTCATGGCATACTCAGGCCACCCCAGCGTCGACCTGCCCAGTTCCAGTGATCCTTCCGCCTCAGCCTTCCAAGGAACCAGAACTACAGGTGTGCACTATCACGTCAGGCTAATTTTTTAGTTAGTGTAGAGATGAGGTCTCATCACGTTGCCTGGGCTGGTCTCGAACCCGCGGGCTCAGGCAGTCCACTCACCCCAGCCTCCCAAAGTGCTGGGATGACAGGCTGAGCCACCAAGCCCGGCCAAGGATGGTTCTTTAAGCAGGTTCCATCACTGCCGCTGCTCCTCAGGTGAAGTTGTCTGAAAAGCCAAGTTGCTCACTGGAGTCTCTCTCTTTCCCGGGGTATGTCCCCCCACCCGTTCTGCACCTGTTCCTGACCCGTGCTGCTTCTACTATCACAGAGGACAGTGCTTATGATCTGGTTTCTGGATCACACACCAGGAGATGCAGAGGACTGGCTACTTATGTAGTGGTCATTCAGACTCAGTGACCAGTAAGCACCCCGGGATATAGATACGCTGAGTTTGTTCCTCCTTACAAATCACCCAAAGCCAATGAAAACAAAGGCCCAAAAAATCCCAGTTGTCACCCCCTACCATGGGTTTGTGTTGTTCCTGAAATGCTCGAAGTAATTGAACACTGAGTAGTCCCTGCTATTTTTTAAAAATTCAGCAGCAGCAAAGCATTCAGGATTCCTAATTATAGCACATGGACGGCTTGGTACTGGGATGTGCATCTACAATATTGAACATCAGTGGGGAGTCCCTGCAGGCTGGAGAGCTGTATCCAGAGAGTGGTTATCAGTGTCTGAGTGCCAGTTGTAGAACTGGGGAGTGCTCCCGCCGGCCAAGAAGTCAAGATGGAAGACAGGAATGTCATCTTTTCAGAGGTTTTGCTGCACAGCTGCCAAGCAACTTGGGGTGATCCACATGCCGCTGTGGAGAGAGTTTTAAGGAGCCCAGCAGTCGTCTGTTTAGGATGGATTAGGTCACCTGGGCTGAGGACAGATAGGAAGATCCATAAACTGTTTGGAACTGGCAGCCCCCACCCCCATCAGCATTGCATCTAACTACATTAGCACCCTCCCCCTCGGTCACTATTCCTAGCTCTCATTTTTTTTTTTTTGAGTTGGAGTCTCACTCTGTCGCCCAGACTGGAGTGCAGTGGCAGCTCCCAGCCACCACAGCCTGGACCTGCTGGGCTCCAGCGATCCTTCCGCCTCAGCCTTCCAAGTAGCTGGAACTACAGGCATGCGCTACCACACCCGGCTAATTTTTGATTTATTGTAGAGATGAGGTCTCACCAAGTTGCCCAGGCGGGTCTCGAACCCACGGGCTCAGGCAATGCACTCACCTCGGCCTCCCAAGGGGCAGGATTACAGGCTGAGCCACCCAGCTCTCATTTGAACACACAATGCATAGGTCCACGTTTGATATTTGACCCTTGCCTTTTTTCTCTTCCTAAAATAGTTTTCCCTCATGTGGTTCCCATGGCTTCTCCCCACCTCTCCCCTGCCCCCCTTATTTTTAGATCTTGCCTCCTATCCTCTAAGAGGCCTTCCCTGACCAACCTTTGTAACGTAGAGCCAAGCTCTAAACAATCCTCCGGGCTCCATGAAGACAGAAACATTGGATGTTTTGATAACTGCTGTATCCCCAGCATCCAGAATGGCGATTAACACAGAGTTTGTTCAATAAAAATGTGTCGAAGGTGTTGCTAGCAAAGGTCTTGCAAAGGAAAAGTCTTGTCTCATGATGCCCAGAAAGCAGTTTAAGAAAAACTTTTCAGATGCTTTCTCAGACCAAGTCACTCACCTACACTGCATCCAATTTACACTTAGAAACCCAAGGAGCCTTCAAGGAAATGCTGTGTCCAGGTAAGCAAGATAACACTATTATCATTCCGCTCCCATCAGGGCTCCAAGCAGCTTTTAGAAAACCTGTCCTCTGATACACAGCACTAATTTGTGTCTTGTGGAAAATTAAATAAATTATTTTTCACCTGAAGGGAGCAGGATTATTTGACTTCAGATATTTGCCATATGGCTTTTCTTCCACACAACATAGCTTTGAGGCTTAAGGTAGCAAGAGCAAGATCATTGCTATAAATTATTCAGAGATAATTCAAAATAAGTGTGTATCTTTGACACATTGTCAAGTTTCCTAATGCTTTCTCCTGATAAGTGCTATATTTTTGATGAAATGTGGCTCGTTTCTCACACACTCTCCTGTTGCTCTGTGTCTGTGTTATGTGTCGTGTCGTGCATGTTGTTTGCTTTTGTTCCCCCCACAGAGTCCAGTCTGGCTCTTATCTCAGCACGGGGTGGTTCACCTTCATTTTGGCCATGGATGCCTGCTATAGCATTCACGTCTACGGGATGATAAATGACACCTACTGCAAGTAAGATCACAGGAAATTATTTCTATGCCGCTCCAAATCTGATATCTTGTCAAAATATCACAATTCATTTTAATACCATAAATCTGGGAAACAGAGGAAGCAACAATTATTTCCCAGCGTTCTTTGCTGACATGACATTTTATTGTCAGTGCCTCACCTTGTGAGTTTTAGGGGTGATAAAAAGAAAAATATTTGCCACCGTCTAATGTCAGATGTCAGAAGGAACACGTTTCCCTTAATCAGTGGCATATCAGGGACTCGTGGCTTGGAAATACAGAACAAATGTGGTGGTTATTTAATTTACAAAAGCAAGTTTGTCGTTTCGGCTTCTGCTGCTCAGATGGCTATGGACTCAATGGTTAGATTTGATCACCAAGGACAAAATGTCCTGAAGCCTCAGAGAAACTGATAGTTGAACAAGAGTTCCTAGAAATTATATTTCACTAATAAGTGAGTAGTCTGCCAGATCTTTATTTAAAATGAGTGTGCTTATCCACATTATAGCCTTGCTGGGGGGATAGATTCTAATTAGATGATCAAACAAACCCTCTATGCTTCATCAGGGTAATGACATCTATTTTCCTACCAATAATCGGAGCAATATAATTCGAAGATGGTTTTAATCAAGTTGTCAAAATGGTGCCTGCTCTCAGCCACAGTCTTCAACAACAAATATTTCCACGCTAGCTATACGCATAATGGAACTCAGATGAACTCAACAGCTAACTATGAAAAATCACAAAGTTTCTTCAGGTTCTGCAAGAGGCTGTCCAAAGTTTGCTTCCATTTCCTCCTTCAAAGGAAAGCCATATGTTTGAAAATAATTGGTGTGATACATACATTTTATTTGATCTATTGAAGTACCCAAGAACCTGGTACATCTTCCTAAAAGCTTTTATACATAATAGCTTTTAACTGAGTTCATGGACAAGAGTCATGTGTGGGTCTGCAGGTAAATGCATTTGCTGGGCACATAATGGATTCTTATAAAGAAAAGCATCATTCTTCATCTCAATCTTTCTTTTTCTTTTTTTTCTTTTCCTTCTCTTCTAGGACAGAAGGATACAGAAAAGTCCCCTACCATTACTACGAGCAAGGAAGAGATGAATGTGATGAATATTTTCTTCATGAACATGCCCCGTATGGGGGGCATAGGTTTATCACTGAAAAGAAAGTGTTTGCTAAATGGGCCAAGAAACACAGGATAATATTTACACACCCAAACTGGACAGTGTCTTGATGTTGGCTTCTCTGATCGTGCCACGTCACTTGCTGTGATCATGGTACTCCAACTGTGACGCCGAAGATGCCAGCGATGGGATGGTGATGACAAGGACAGCAACGGTCACATTCCTGTACCGTCTCAGACATGGATGAATGATAACTCTGCTCGGAATTTAAACTCGGGGTCTTGTAGAGGGTGGTAGTGCTCATTATGTTCTTTCTGGAGGTTCAACACACATCCTGCACTTTATAATTTAACTGGAATTGAAATGAAGGCCAGTGACGTGACAACTGTGACCTAAGAAATGGGAAGATTATCCTTCAAGGTAGCTGCCCAGAGTTGTTCTGCAGTAAGTTCCAGAAGCCGTGAGATCTGGCCTCATGAGGCAATGTCATTGACTCCATGGCTTCTTGAATCTGAGCAGCTCTACCATCTTGAAGAGCGGTTGATTGTCAAACACTGACCCAAGACATGCTACCAGGGTACAAGTATCTTACCAGTTAGCCTGGGAAGGGGAAGGTATCTTATGCTGATGTACCCTCTCCCTACAGTACTTTTCACAGTTAGAGCCTCAGGCCATTACCTAGTTAACAGTGAAGATATCATGGACATCCTGTACCTCAGGATTGCTTGACTGTCTCCAACACTTAATTCAAAATGGGCCAAGTAGCAAATCTTGATGAATTGTCACCTTCCATTCATCCTACCCAAAACAATATAACTAAACATGTTATTAGAATACTCGATATTAATGTTCAGTTATTTTTGGTTGAGTCCTAAATATGTCAGAAGGCTATTTAACATGTAAGATACCAACTTCAACACTGTAATAACACATACTGTGAAAACATTCCTAAAATATAACCAAAGGGTTTACTAACTCTGCTTCAACTCCCACAACGCAAAATTATATGCTTTTTAAAATCATGAAACAGGGAAAGCAAAGCATATTTTTACATCAATTTGTATCCTATCATACTTCATAATATATATTTGTATATTCAAATTTCTATTTTATAGGCCCAAGATGTGTCTCTCCATACATTGTATCCTCATTGCCAAGTGCCAACTGTTACACATAAGAACCAATTCCTTGCATTAAATCTGACCAGAGCTTTTGCCTTCTAGGGGTTTATTTTCCCCAGAGTGTATAGGTTTTTATACCATAATAGCAAAAATAATGCCCTTAGTGTCCAACGTGCTTTGTCATTTAGAGTCCTTTCACGTATGCAGTACCATGTGACCATGTGACATCGGTGAGCACCTCATTGGGCTAGTGCCTGTGTATTCTGTCACCTCCTTAACAGATTATCTATAACTTGTTAATTGTTATGATATATCCTGGATTGCTCTCCTTGCTAATATTTGCATAGAATAGCATATATGTAGACTAGTAACCATTGATTTCAGTGCCAAATACAATATATTATATCAGGATTATGCAAAAAGTATCACAAAGGATGGTCTTAGCTGTATGCTAGGACCCCTGTGTACTTAAGTAGTTTTGAGGGTTTTTTAATGGCTCTGTGTAGGTGGGGGGAAATGAAGAAGCAGGGACCACACAAAGGCACGAAAGCTGAGAATATAAGTTTCCTGCCCCAAGTCTGAGACAATTCTGTTTTCTGTATACTCATTGTTCAATAAATATTAGAGGGTTGATTTGCCAAGAGAGTAGCTGAGATTTCAAAAACATCCTGGCAAAATGATTCAACAGACAAAAGCCAGGCTCTGCTTGCAGAGTGTTTTAACGCTGGAAGTAGTGATGCATTTCCCTTTGGAAGCACTTTGTAGGTCTTTACCAGTGCTAAGCATTATGATAATCATTAAAATGTGCCCTTTGGGGTAAAAGCCTCTTTTCTGCTCTCTTCGGCCATTGCAATACCCCAATACTCCCATTCATAAAAACTGTCAAGCCCTAGTTCTGTGGTCGGAAAGAGTTGTTGCTCTTATATTTCCTTATGCAATTTTCAGTTCTATGAATATGAGTCTAGTTTAGTTTAGTTTTGTTTAGCTAATGATGGATAGAAATGGCCACTCAAAGAAAAATAAACAAATACAAATGTTGAAATTGTAATACAGGCTGTCTTTTCCCCTGTTGTGATACAGAAGTTCTGCTTTTAAATAAAAAGAAATTCTTGGTGAATTAGAATGCTTCGGAAGATGGTGTATAACCTTAATGATTTAGTTTTCTAATAAATGAAAGACCAGCTGTATGTGTTTTAGCCCTTATTCATGAGACACTTTTGAGAACACGCTTGCTCTCTGGCTTCACTGTAGAGTTCTCTGATGAAGGAGACTTTTGCAGGACCCAGCATCCCTCACTCTGTGGCAGCAGGCGTATGTGGCATGGTCAACTCCAGATGGGCAGTGTTTCCTTCAGAGGGATAGGCTGGGCTTTTTTTCCTCTCTTTCTCTCTCACTCTCTTTTTAAAACTAAATCCCTACTTTTCATTTTTTATTGTTGTTGTCGTCTTTTGTCTCTTTTTTCTAACAGTTAGAAACAAAAAAACACATTTTTCTCAATTTAAATTATTTCCAGAGTAATCAGCATTTTGATAGAATCTGAAGACATATTTTTCTCTGTCATCTTAGTTTTCTCTGCTTCCGTTTCCTGTTCTTCTTTATTTCAGTTTCCTAATTGTAGTAGAAATGCAAAGTCTAATTTCTCCCTTGGTGTGAAGAAATTTTCCATCTAAGATTTACTAATAGAGAAGAGCTTGGCAAAGGAGCAATTCAAGCAGATTATTTTGTCATGCAAATTTCTGATCAATTTCACAGACTCAGATCAACTGAAAGATTTTTATCCAGCATCTAAACATTGGAAAATTTAACTGAACTCTCTTACCACTGATGTGTATGTACTCCAGAAATTTAATATCTGTAAAAAATAAAAGTATTTCTTTCTTTTTTTTTTTTTTTTTTTGAGTTGAAGTCTCACTCTGTCGCCCAGACTGGAGTGCAGTGGCACGCTCCCAGCCACCGCAGCCTCCACCTGCTGGGCTCCGGGGATCCTTCCACTCAGCCTTCCAAGTAGCTGGAACTACAGGTGCGTGCTACCATGCCTGGCTAATTTTTTGATTTATGATAGAGATGAGGTCTCACCAAGTTGCCCAGGCGATCTTGAACCCGCTGGCTCAAGCAATCCACTCACCTCGGCCTCCCAAAGCGCGGGATTACAGGCAGAGTCACCGAGCCCGGCCTAAAAATATTTCAATAACACCCAAGGTTCTAGGAAAATGAACTATGGAAAATGGTCACAGTTCTTCTGAAACTGATACAAAAACATGCAAGCTAAAAATAATAGGGTAATCCTCTACAAAGTAAGAAAATTTAAAAAGGATTTTTAAATGAGTGTCTAAATTCTTTCTAGGTTAACCAAGTGGCAGGTAGTAATGATTTACATCGCTATGATGATGATGTAAAGTAGAGACCTTTTAGAGTATGTTACTTTACATTGCTATCAAACCCATCAAAGAAAAAGCAACTTGGGAGGATTTGAAGAGATGTCTTTGCACATAGAGTCCATTTGTGTTTGTATGAATATATATATATATACCCCCCCACACACACATACATATAATCTATAGACTTATAACTATATAAAGGCATATATGGAATCCTTTATTCTTCACTGATGTGTGTGAATCACAGAAAACCCTATTTTAGGCTTCATCTGAAATTTGTTGGGTTACATTTTGAATACTGATGAAAAAAAGCAAAAATCCAAATTAAATGGACCAATTGCTAAGAATACATAAAATCATATTCAAAAGCTGGCCCAAAGAATGAAGCTAGAGAAGTCGCTAAATCTAGAACTAAGAACACAATTAGATGCCACAGTTGTCCCAAATCAGACTTGTAAGCATGGCAATCTGTATTGTAGGTTCTGCCGATTGCTGCTTAACCAAAGTCACGTTGGAAAACATTGCATCAAGCTTCATTCATGCCGAAGTAAATGAACGCTGGTCCTCCTATTCAAATCAGCCAGTCTTTAGCATAAGTGAAATCAGGCTTTGCATGATTTTTATTATATAGCTAGAGAACTGTAACCATTGTGAAAAGAGAAAATTATATAAGGAAATTGCTCTTGGAGGATTCAGGGTGAATCAGCCGAGATAGGAACAAGAGTCTACCCTGGGGACCTGCTGACCTTCCAAGAAGCATACGGCCATCCATTGGAAGAGAGTCACTCAGAACTTATTCACACAAGAGGCAACACTAAAGTATTTCACCTGGTAGTGTTAATTGGATGTTAACTATGAGCTCTGTTTGATTCTGATGAGTAAGAAAATTAATCAGATGGCTTACTTTTTTTTTTTTTAACACACTCATCCAGCATTTAATGTGGTGTGCCAAATGCAAAGAATACACTTTGTTGTCCAGTGTCAGTTGTTTGCATGTTTTAGCCCAATAAATGATCTACATGCCCAGGGCCAGGAGAGAAAAAAAAAAAAAACCAACTCTGTTTTCAACAGTATATTTAAAAGGCAAGACCTCATCATTTTAACAGCATGCATAGATCCAGTGACTGAAGGAGCCAGTGCTGGCCTTTGTAGGTGTCTAGACTCTTAGAGGGCTTTTAAAGACCAGCCAATCCAACCCTTACAAGCTGGAGTTGAGCAAGCGGATCTAGAGAGATGAAGTGACATGTGCCTGTGACTATCAAATGAAATAATGGCAGTACCGAAACCCAAATTATTGTCGCACGTCTCCTCGCTAGTACTTTTTCCACTGCATTTTTTTTAAAGCATAAAATAATAGCTGGAAGAGTACATAAGTGATTTACTGAAAGGGTCTATTTATGGAAACTAAGGGCTTCAATTAGTGTTGGTTCTACTCAGGATCAGAGAAATCCCCACAATGAAGTACAGAAATAGTTGCAAAATTAAAGGAACATATTCCGTGATTGTCTACAGTCCCCCTTCTCTATGTTTGTTGCTAAGACCAGGCCATGTTCCACTTTCATGAAATCCTAGGACTACTTTAAAGAATATTAAGGTGAGTTTTTGTTTGGTTGGTTTTTTTTGAGTTGGAGTCTCATTCTGTCATCCAGGCTGGAGTACAGGCATGTTCACGGTCACCCCAGTGTCGACCTGCTGGGCTCCAGCAATCCTTCCGCCTCAGCCTTCCAAGTAGCTGGAACTTCAGGCACGTGCTACCACGCCTGGCTAATTTTTTTAATTTATTGTAGAGATGAGGTCTCGCCAAGTTGTCCAGGCTGTTCTCGAACCCAGGCTCAGGCAATCCCCTCACCTCAGCCTCCCAAAGTGCTGGGATAGCAGGCTTGAGCCACCCCACCCTGCCAAAGGTGAGTTTCTTACTTCTGTTTTCTTATTGAGAAGGATCAAGCCATTGATCCAAGAGCTGCTGAATGTAGGAGGTAGCCTGGTGAGATGACCCTTCCCTAGAGCCGAAGTGTCCTCATCCTCAAGGCAGTTCAGCTGCCTGTGTTAGTGAAATCATCCAGCAGCCAAAGCTACCCTTGGGGTCCATGCTCATCTCTGCACTGCACATAATCTTGGAGTCCATACACCCTCCTGAAGGTAAATAAAAGCCCCAAATGTTCCACCAGACTCAATGGGCATGCAAGATTAAAAAGGGGTTTTTTTTCTTTACAGTCTATTTATGTGATACTCTTAGAAATGAAGAATTTTGAAACGATGTACACTGGGCTCTGAAAATGGATCCTGTGACTCAGAAAGAGTCTATTGTTCTGTTGCTTGTTTTTTGTGGAATGCTAGAGTGAAATTCCATGTAAATTGCTAAGGCATCGAATCAGAGCTGTCCTGAGCATTGTAACAGTGCAGAAATCCTCATCTAGTGAGTTCGTTTTTTGTTTTGTTTTGCTTTTTTGAGTTAACTACTTTTTCCAGTTCAGAATAGGCACAATTTGGTTTTGGAGTAGAAAAGCTCTTCTTTCTCTGCGGATACATCTCTTTTTGTTTATGTCTTGGAGACGTCAGTAAAATAGAGACTCACTTTCATAAAGGTGAAGAGCATCTTGATGGATAAACAGCCAACTGCCAAATTCATATATTTACCTACATAGCAAGCAGTTTCTTCTAAGAAACTTCAAAGGAACCCAAACCAGGGCATTTTGTAGTTCCTCGTTACACAACCTACAAAGCATTTAATTTCCTTGTGTTTAACTTTGTTGTCACTGCTACTGAGTAAATACCCATTTCTATTGCATACAGTATATTTTACACTTCACTCATTTTTCTGAGTTCACACAATTTTTGCTATAGTCTCTCACTTTAAAACCTATAATCTTCATCTAGTCATAGAAGAAACTGTAAATGCATAGTTGTTCATTTGATAAGAGAATTTTTCTGACATTCTGTTGCTTTATTTATAGGTACTGTGTCTTAGGAGAAAGCTTACAAAATGGCAAAAGGCTATTGGCATATTTCAATTTGTTTTACAATAGGACAAGTAAGGATGTTAACAAAACCGGAGAGTATTTGTCATCAAAAGAAAAAAAAAATAGGCAATATTCAATATACTCAATACCTAGGGCAGGAAGATAGCTAGGATACTATTAAACAAAAAGAGAAAATGTTGACCTGTCTCCAGAGTCTGTCCACACTATCTGATGCTGAGATATATTTCTTTCTTTGCCGTGCTAGACTTATGAACAAAGTTGATTTAGTACATAAGCTGCCCAAAATAAAGAAGTACTTCTTCTTTCCTTTCTTCCCTCCTTCTCTCTCTTCTTTCTACAAAACTCAATATTCTTGTGACTGAATGTTGAATTTAGATAGGTTTTGTTTTGTTTTGTTTGAAGTGAGAGTCTCACTATCACCAGGCTCGAGTGCAGTGGCACACTCACGCACGGCCTCTGCAACCTCAACCTGCTGGACTCAGGCAATCCTTCTGCCTCAGCCTTCCAAATAGCTGGAACTACAGGCACATGCCACCACGCCCAGCTAATTTTTTGACTTATTGTAGAGATGAGATCTTGCCAAGTTACCCAAGCTTGTCTTGAACCCCTAGGTTTGGGCAATCCTCTCACCTCAGCCTCCCAAAGGGTTGGGATTACAGGTGTGAGTCACCACGCCTGGCTGGATAGTTTGTCTTTTAACAGATTGTAGTTCTCTATGCAACTCTCCAAGAGACCCATAGTTGGATGTGTTCTCAAACTGATACTCTTCTTTGGGAATAAGTAATACTAACTTCTACTCACATGCCAGTTTATTAAAGGGCTGT